CATCATCGAAAAGAATAAATTGTGTATGATTTGGTTCTAACTCTTGTCTACTGTTCAAGCTTTTTCGTTCAACAAATTTACCTTGTTCATGCAACGATACCTATCAAACAACATTTATCATAAAATTTTATTTCAGTACACAACACATACTCTATACAATACCCGTTCTGTTATCTGAGTCTTTTCTCTTTGAATTAATTCATGACGGTTTTTAATATTTGCCCAATTCAATACACCAATAGCATAAATATTTTTTTCATCACTATTTTGATTTCGTAAAAGATTTAATCGATTTTTATAAACAGTTTCACCAACTAATCGAGGGCCAATTTCATTTTTATTGCCATTTGTGAAAATCCAAGCATCTTTTAAAAATATTTTAATAAAATATAGTCTTTAGTAGCGAAAAAATACCTACCTGATCCTAAAACAACATGAGTAACACTTTCTATAAATTCTTTTTCGAATTGTATATTCAATGCAGAATCAAACCCGCCAGTAACTGACAAAATTAAATTTGGCCTTTTCATGTTCCACAAATTGAACATAAGAAGTGTTAATGTATCAAATGAAGTAGCAATGTCACAGCGAATATACTAAAAAAAAGGATTAAATATTATCGGATTTAGAAAAGTTCTTAATGTGATTTACTACACGCGAATCATGATCGAGATTTGTCAATTACCTTCACCAACTTCATCCACAGTGACTGAGCTATCATCAGTGAGTATAAACGATAATTTCACTTTCGAAAAATGCTTGATCGAACAGTTAACTAAGAGAGAGATAAGGATAGAACAGAAAAAAGGCAAAGCACAAAAGAACTACGCAGTTGATAAAGTCGAACAATTGCACTTTGAATGCAAAGAATTCACTTTTGAATTAAATTGTCCAAAAAGTAAACTCTGACGTGTTCTCATTCCCATCCTGTGCATTCTGTTCTATCCCCGCTGCTCAACCCCTACAACTGATATCATTGATCAGTGACCAAAGCCTGTATACTCTGTGGTAACTAAAGCACTTCTACAACTT